AAAACAGTGTATTTTTTAATTTTAAATTTTATAATATTATTTTATTTATTTAATTAAAAATCTTTTAAATTTATTTTTGATCAATTTCTCATAATTAAGACAATTTCGGATTATTAAGTTTCTTAAATTATTATTAATGATATTTTTGGAATTATTTGAATGTTTTTTACTGAATGCATCTATTATCTAATTATTATATTTCTTAAATTATTATTAATCATATCTTTGAAATTATTTGAATATTTTTAATTGATTGCATCTATTATCTAGGTTCACTAATAGGGTTATTTTGCATTTATTATTGGAATTTTCTATTTTTTTCATATACATAAAATTAATGTCATTAGTGTCCACGTCTATTTCCAAGGCTATTAATATCCTTATTATCAATTTTTCTTATTCCAACCATCTACAAATAGTGTGAAACCTTTAAACCAAAACAAATCTCTTTTATTTATCATTCTTGGGACTAATCTATTTTTGAGACTAATTTATCATTTCTCTTTCTCTTTTACGAAATTACGGGTAGATGATAATTTTATTTTTTTATTTTTTAAATGTCAAAACTTATATGATTGATTTTATGATTATTTGATACATTTAAAAATTATATGATTATTATTGATTTTACTATTAAGTAATTTATTTTAATAATTAATTTATTCTATAAAAATATTAATTTATTTTTTAATTTCTCCAAAAATAATTAATTTATTTTTATTACTTATAAAAACAAAACGATATTTATAAAAAAGAACATCTTAATTGAACGAGCATAACAAACTTTTCTTTCAATTCCTATTATTTTCTAAAAAAGACAATAATTTAATGAAAATATGAAAATATAAATTGGAAGACAATAAAACATTGAATGTCAATAATAAATTGGTCATACATTTCGTAACTATCATTATATTATCTTTATTTAATATCTATAACAATATTGCACAACCATGTAAACACGGATAAATATTTATATCAACTTTACAAACGCACGGGTCCTATATATTTCTTAATCATCATTATACCATCTTTATTTATTATTTATAATAATATTGAACAACCATATAAACGCACGTGTAGATAATCAGTTTTAAAGATGTGTGTGAAGTGTATTAGACTCATATATTTTTCAATATAATTTCTATGTATATCCTTACAACTACTACAACTTAATAAATTAAATTAAAATTTACGTGACAATCATAATATAAAGTTTTTTTATCTCTTAATTCATATATATTTTTATATATATTTTTTAACCATAATTATATAATATTTATTTAACATTCATATCGACTTTATATGACCCGTGCAAACGTATGAATCATTTACTAGTTTCTCAAATAACAAATATTGTTCACTCTTCATAATTCCTAAGCAGCACTTCATTTTGAATAAGTACAATGGCCTAGCGGGTAATAAAATGAGAGAAAGGAGTGTAAGTATGGGAGAATTTGAGTTCAAATCTCATCTTTGCCACATTAGTGCTTTCTTTCTCTTTTATTTACTGCTAACTTTTTTTGCATTATTTTCAAATTACAAAATAATTAAAATTGTATTTTTCTTTTATTTTAAATTAATTTTCGTTTTTATTATTAGGCATTTTTAAAAATTCTATTATTTAATTTAAATAATGATTTTTGTGCAGCTTTTAGACCAAAAATCAAAAAAAGAAATGGATCATTATTTTAAGAAACAAATCAAAGATTATTCTATATAATTTTTCACACAATAAAAATTTTGATTTGATTTTTGTTATAATTTTAAATCTTTGATTTTCAATCTTAAATTTAACTTTTTTGATCTTTGATTTACAATCTTAAATTTAACTTTTTTGATCTTTGATTTAGTTTCTATTTTTATTTTCAATATTTGATTTTAATCTTTGATTTAGTTTCTATTTTTATTTTCAATATTTGATTTTAATATTTGATTTAATTTCTATTTTCATCTTCAATATTTGATTTGGTTTTAATTTTAATTTTTAGAATATTATATTTTTATTTTAGTTTTATTATTAATATATTTATAATTTATTATTATTGTTACTAATTTTTATCTCATTATTATTAGTATTATTTTAATTTTAGATTGTTTTAACACTATTTTTATTTTTATTTTTTATTTTTATTTTTTTAGTACAACTAATTTTAATTTAGATTATGATAATATTCATTTAAACTTAGATTTGTTTTAATTAGTTAATTCATGAAAAGAAAACTGAAAGGGTTAGATAAGGTCTTTTTATTCTTCTTTTTTAATTAAAATTTTCTTGTATAAATGAATATTTTAATTTTAATTTTAATTTATTTATTTTTTAAAATCTTTAACTTTATTCACTTAGTAGTTAAAATTAAGAAAATAAATAAAATATGTCAGAATCAAATCTTCATCAATCATGAATCAATAACAATATTGAAAAAAAATTCAAAAGTGTCTAGGTTCATAATCTTATTCTCCAAGTTTCAATCAAACCTCAACCTATATAAATCTTGCCAAAAATAGATGAATCACATTTAATTTTTGACCTAAAGTTTTCCTATAAATAGAGTTCTTTTCACTTCATATTCCTCATCAACAATTTTCTATATTTCCTTCACAAACATTCTTTCTACCCAACTCTTTTGGTTAATTTTAGGGCTTTGAACAGAACACTTAAAAATTTTTCATCAGCAATCATTTGAAGAATCAATAATCATTTGCAGATCAACAATTATCTACGAATCAACAACTTTGTTGTTGTCTTTAACCGATAATAGCGAACAATCATCCACAATTCAATTTTCACCAAGAAAACTCTACCCCGTCGATGTTTTCCCATTGTGGTGCTTTCTTCTCTTTAGTTTTTACAAGATGTTGTTTTGTTTTGTCTTTAAATAATAAGAACAAAGGCGGCGAAGAAGCAAACAAACAAGAGAGAAATTTTTTTTCTTGATAGAAGAACCTAAGATCTACGGAAGGGAAAGAGGCAATTTTATTCAATATTTGCTATATTCTATTCTATGTTGATAAGTGGTGGTATTGTTACATTTTCAATTTCTCACTATCGCATGACAATCTTTGATTGAATACTTGTTTTACTTTGAAAATTAACAACCTAATATTTTACTGATAAACAACATGGGGTCTTCCCCCTCCCTCATTTTGGCAACTATATTTTCCATTATTTATAATTACTATTATTATTATTATTATTATTATTATTATTATTATTATTATTATTATTATTATTATTATTATTATTATTATTATTATTATTATTATTATTATTATTATTATTATTATTATTAAAAGATAGTAGGAATTGACAATTAGTTATTAGGTTTAACATCCGCTTTTAGTTGCCTCCCTCATTTTGACAACTATATTTTTCTATTATTTATAATTACTATTACTATTATTTATTGGGGTCTTCCCCCTCCCTCATTTTGGCAACTATATTTTCCATTATTTATAATTACTATTATTATTATTATTATTATTATTATTATTATTATTATTATTATTATTATTATTATTATTATTATTATTATTATTATTATTAAAAGATAGTAGGAATTGACAATTAGTTATTAGGTTTAACATCCGCTTTTAGTTGCCTCCCTCATTTTGACAACTATATTTTTCTATTATTTATAATTACTATTACTATTATTTATTATTATTATTATTATTATTATTATTATTATTATTATTAAAATATAGTAGGAATTGACAATTAGTTATTAGGTTTAACATCAACTTTTAGTTGTAAAACTTCACTGTAGCCACGTTAGTTTTTTAGGATTTACGTTTAACATTTTTACCATTTTATATTTTTTTGTTTTTATTCCTTTTTATTTTTCATATAAATCTAACACAACCTTTTTAAATTAAAACAAACATAATATCAAATTAATTCAAAATAGCTAACCCATCAAATACTGACTTTTTTCGACTAACTTAATTTCAAATTCAATATATTTTCAAAAAGGATTGTGGAAATCTTTTATATTAACTACAAACTGCATCTACGATTCCGCTAATTTCAAACTCAGACTTGGTTCAAGGATTAACTCAAAATATTTCCACAATCCATAAAAAAATAACCAAACACTACGAACTGTGATTATGATTTCTCATAAGAGGATACGTAGGCATGCGACTTAAAAACCAAGGCGAGTTCTCTTAATTAAACAATTATAACCCTATCCGACCCTTTTAACCTAAACCCTAGGACTTCCTTGAGAACAAGGTAGATGAGGGGTGGCTAACACCTTTCTTTTGTCTAAAGTGAATCTAGAACTTAGAATCTTTATACAATTAAGGTTATTTCATTATTCACCCGTCGTTAGGATAAAAGTAGTGGTGGCGACTCGTTATTTTTTGTCGGTTACGGCAGCTGGAGACTCTGCTGGAGAAACTCAACCCTAGGGTTTAGAAGCCTCTCCTTTTTGGGTTTAGGGTTTTGTTAGGTTTTTGGTACTGTTCCTATATTTGTTTTATTTATTTATTTTATTTATTTATTTTGTCTATTTATTTATTGTTACATTGTTTATTATTTTATTTATTTGTGGTGGGATTTTAAATTCGAAAGTTCAAAACCTTAGAAAGAAGGTTCGTCTATTGGCCAATGGGATATATCATCCCTATGAGTTTTTGTGACGATTTCACATAGAGTCGGTGGAATTCCAAAAAAGAAACATGTCTCAAAAGCTAGACTTTTAAGGGTAGGACTTTGGAATGAAACCTATGACTCTTTGTATAACCCTAAATCAAAATCTCATGGTGAGACCTTGTACGACTTTAGAGACGAAAGTTTTAGTCTACAATGAGGATCCGCTTAAGAGAGGCTCTTGTGCTTTTCCCTCTAGTGTTATCCATGATACTCTTAAGGAAGCCGCCTTATGGGAAGGGTAGAATATCCGTAGGACGAAACTAGGAACCTACCTAGTAAGGATATCTTGTCACCATCTGTTGTACCCTAAAATTTGCCCTCTCATCTTCAAGACAAATTAATGCAAGACACTCCCTCAGGCTCATATGTTTCTCAATTGCTCAAGAGCACTCAAGGTTTGAGCAGACAAGTTCTCTTTCTAAGCAATTGACCTACAACTAGGGGTTTGCTTTCTTTAAAGAAAATTGAGCTTCTAATTCCTCAAGTGAGCTTCATGGATCCCCATATGCTTCAAAGAATCTTCTTGTCAAGTTTCAAGCCTTGCAGTACAAGTTTGCTCAGTCAATTGCTCATATGAGTGAAAATCAATTATATTGGACAAAAAGTCAACATTGGTCAACCTACAGTCAAACTTCAATATTTTTGGTTAACACCAATATTTTGAAGTCACATTCATAATGTGATCAAGGGTTGATCATGATTCATCAAAAAAACTCAAGATTCATCAAAAGACAAAAGTTACCAAATTAGGATTTTCTTAAAGAGAAGTCAACTAAACTTTGACCAAGCATAACTTTCACATACTTAATTATAAATTTCTCAACCAAAGCCTATGTTGAAGGAAATTCAATCATCTACAACTTCGTCTCTCTAATCTCAAGGCAAAAAATGCTTCATTTGAGAGATATGGGCCAAAACATTATAGGTCATTTTGAAAGTCAACAAAAAGACATCTTTTGTCAAAGAAATTCACATCAAGTTAAAGACTTCAAATGAAAAAATGACCAACATGAAAGTTATAGGAGACATCTTGAGCTTTCCAAAAAGTCTAAGATCACATTTATATGACAAAAATTGAGAAAGTTATCATTTGGTGCAACACTACAAGAAAATTAGTGTTTAACGACACAAAAATTGCGACAGTTATGTGATAACTGTCGTAATTGACATATAGAGACATTGTTTACGACAGTTGACACCAACCGTCCCTAATATTTATTTTGCGATGGTATAATTAACCATCATAATATTATTATTACGACGGTAAAACAACCGTCGGCCCCCATTTAACACTTTTAACATTGATTTTTCACCAACAACTAGTCACGACGGTAAAATTAACCATCCTAAAAGGCATATCACGACGGTAAAGCACCCGTCGCAGCCTTAAACCTTTCAAGACGGTAAAATTATCCGTCCTAAAATTCATTTCACGACGGTAAAACAACCGTCGCACCCAAAACCTTTAAAAATTCTCATGGGCACGACGGTAAAACACCCGTCGCCGTAAAAAAGTTAAAAAACTCTTAAAATACATAAAACATCAATTCACTTTCTATTCATGCGTTCACTTTTTCTACTCACGAAGAAAATACAAGAATTCTCGACCTAAGATTCGTGTGGGTCTTCCAAAGAAGAACCCTAAAGTTTTGAAACCCGCTTTCACCATTCCTCCCAAACTGTTACAATCCCTTGTAGAAGACCCTAAATGGGATGAAAAAGGCAGCGTCACACAAAACTACAATTCCTTCGGCGTCGTCAATGACCCTAACTCCCTCAAAATGAGATAACCGACGAATACCCAATCAAATATGAAGCCGAACGCCTCCCTCCTCCCTTAGTCGCCGATCTCAACGGTGACGGAAAAAAAGAAGTTCTCGTAGCTACTCACGATGCCAAAATTCAGGTTTTTCATTTCACTTGTCAAAATTCATACTTTATTTGCTACCCTTCCCAATTCAGCATCAATGTAGTTTGTTAGGAATGATACAAACTGAGTTTTGTATCTATCTATGTTGGGTGTATCAGATTTTGGAGCCACATAGTAGGCGTGTTGATGAAGGATTCAGTGAGGCGCGCGTGTTGGCCGAGGTGTCTTTGTTGCCCGATAAAGTGCGTGTTATGTCTGGGAGACGGCCGGTTGTTATGGCTACTGGCTATATTGATCGTCATAAAATTGGGCAACCACATAAACAGGTTTTGGTTGTGGTAACGTCGGGTTGGTTTGTAATGTGTTTTGATTCCAACCTGCAGAAGTTGTGGGAAAATAATTTGCAGGTATGGTGTTTATGTTGGGCCGTATCTTGTTGTATTGTGTCGAGTTTACCAATTGTTTTAGTGGTTTTTAACAGGAGGATTTTCCCCATAATGCTCATCATAGAGAGGTTTCGATCTCTGTAAGCAATTATACTCTGAAGCATGGAGATACAGGATTGATCATCGTTGGTGGGAGGATGGAAATGCAGCCACATGTATGTTTCACTTTCCTTGTTGTTTCCTGGTTTGTTATTCTTTTTTCCCAAGTACTTGTGTCAGCTTTCTATATGCCAATGGAGAGAAACTCACAATTTAACGTGGATGCTGTTTTTCATCTTTCATAAAAGTGGAAACTCTTAAGTTTTTAATAGCATAAGGTTGTAGCTATCTTGTTTTTCGCTGAAGATGAAAGTTCCTCAGCAATTTTATTTGATAAAGTATGGTAATAATGTGTGGGTTTGCTTCTACTTATTGAGTTTCAGAAGTTTCTATTTGTTTTGAGATTCTTTTATTGGTGATGATTTTGGAATTGTTTATCTCTAGTTTATCTTTGGAATTGTTTATCACTAGTTTATCTTTGGAATTTTGGTATTATCTTCTAATCTGATGGCGTAGCTTATGTTCATTGTTTCCACTTTCAGATTTTTATGGATCCTTTTGAAGAAATGGGAATGGGAGCCAGATTTGCTGAGCAGCATCGAAGAAGTGCTAGTGAAAAGGAGGTATAGTCCTGTTGCTAGTTGATGCTAAATTTTATTTTTTACTATCCTGTAGCATGCTAATTTTTGGTTAAACTTTGAGGCAATTCTATTTGTTTTATTAACTTCAATTTAATTTCCGGTCTTCAAGGCTGACCTATTTTAATCTCCTAAGCAGTCAATTCAAATTCCCGTTCTGATATAAATAGGTAATATAAAAGTTCACCAAGTATTGGCTTGATAAAGCCAATAAATAAACTCTGTAAATTTGGACCTTAATGATCAGGTGGCTAAATAAATGGGAGTCAGTTTCAATCCTTTTGTTTAAATTTTTATTTTTTCAAAAAAACGTATGAGGTGATTTTAGTTCTTTTCCCATCTTAAGGTTGAAGACTCTTACTGTTTGTTGTGTCCCTTTTCCTTGATAGGCTTCTGAGAACACTGGAACTGTGGATTTGCGCCATTTTGCATTTTATGCATTTGCTGGTCGATCTGGTGTAGAACGATGGAGCAGAAAAAATGAGGTGGTGTTCTTTCTTCTTTGGCCTTCAGTGCGCTCAATTGTTTGGGTGTTGTCATCATGTAAAATATAAACCAAATTTCGTTTAAATTAAAAATGCAATTTTCCTGGTTTAAAAAAGATTTGTCTTTTCTATCTGTAAATTCATTAGGTGATTTAGTGAACTTTCCCTATCCTCTTGCCGTATCTTATGTATAACTTTGGCCAGGGGGTGGCAACTTAGTTCTCAATAGTATCTATTTGTTCTGCAACAATCCTGAGAACTCAAGAAGTTATACAGTCAAGCTCACAAAATTCAGAACATAATGAATAAGAGCCTAAATATTAATAATAAATTATACCCTTGAAGATATTGAAACCCTATTGTAAGCGCCTGCACTTAGATTTTAACTCATTGATGCATAATTATGTATTGAAAAAAAGGAAATTCCATAAAACATATGGAACCACCTCCCAACCAGCATAAACTTTAGCCTTTTATGTCTTTAGCAATGGCAACAGATAGATGTTTTACAACCAACATAGTGGACAAGTTTGACTTAATATGTTATTTATGCTAGTCCTAAATTTATTTTGTTAAATGATCTTGTGCAGCCTTATCCTTTTTCTAATAGCTAGTAATGTCATTTGATTGTTTAGAACATCGAAGCAGCTTCTTCAGATGCATCACAGTTAATTCCACAACATAACTATAAACTTGATGTTCATGCTTTGAATAGACGTCAACCTGGAGAGGTACTTAGCTATAGCTGTTCAATTTAATCCTAATGGTATGTTGGGTTGATAGAGTATGATGAAATGGAGTGGCATAAAATACCATTACATCTTCTGTAAGCAGGGGAGTCATTGCTTTTCTTTTTCATATGTCGATTTTATTCTAATCTGGAAATATACATATTGATTTTAATGTTTTCCGCTTTAGCTCAGTTTTCCGGTTTTGTTATATTTAAGTAATACAGTACTTTCATAGTTATTACTTTTGCCATTCCTCTGCTTTCCTTATTAATATCGTCCAAACAATTTCCAAATAAAAAAAGGCCATAACCTTAATTTGTTTGTTTAAAAATGTTGCAGTGCTTCTTATCAATATACTTCGAACTTCCTATAGGCTGGAGACCCGATTCCTAGTCATATCTTTATGTTACTCACCTTTTCTCTTAAAATGATCAACCATTATGGCAATTATTTGTTTGTTAGTATGGAGTTTGCCTTTCCTATAAGAACTTTAGTACAATAGTACTCATCCAGATCTACTTGAGTTACTGAGCCATTCCTTCCTTTGTGTATGGAAATAGCAGCATGTGCACATAGTAGTGTTTCATTCAAATTTAATATTTATTGCAAAATATTTGTTTATGATTATCCATACATTCCCAAAAGATAGCTTCCTGTGACATGTGAAGTTATAGTTTGAATGCAGGGAATTCCGAGAATCAATCCTGGGAGTTATGCCACATCACTGGGTACACTATTTTTTCAGCTATGATTATCATTTGGTACTAGAGCATAATCTCAAATACCCTAGGTAATTGACATTATTATATACATGCACTTATCAGGATAGGAGAGAAGATACTTTATTGAAGCTGGCCCACTTCAGGCGCCATAAGAGGAAAACATTGAAAAGAACACCTGGAAAGTCTATTAATTACCCTTTCGACAAGCCTGAGGAAAACCATCCACCAGGGAAGGACTCAACCAAAAAAATTTCAAACATAATCGGGAAAGCAGCAAATCTTGCTGGTTCGGCGAAATCCAAGAAGGTAATTGGAAACCATGTCATGAAACTGCTAGCAATTCATTCAATTGTTGACATAGTTATAGCTAGTCTTACAACTGGACAGCTCAAAATTTATTTTTCAAACATGATTTCAGCTAGAGGCTTTCGTTGTTTTTATCCCGTAACAAAGCTTCCTGTTCACTTTCTAACTACTGCATGTCCAAGTTTTTGTCACGGGATCTAAATTTTTGTGTTGGTGATATTCTCAGCATCTATTGATTTTAACTCATTTTTGTAAACCTACTTTGAATTTGTGAGGAATGAGGATAACCATTGCTCTGCATTTGGTTTATTTTTTTTAAAACTTGCACTGGTCAGATATCACTTCTCACCTGTTATATTTATTCTCAAGTCTATAGGTACATTTTTTTCATTTCTTCTGAGTTTTTAATGCTGAATTTGAGGAGCCAGTATATTTTATGCTATAGAAATATTGATTGATAATAAATATGCAGTTTCCCCCTTGTTCATATTAATTAGGTAGATAGAAACTGTAAGGAGGATACCTAGTAGTGCCGAGGATGTGTTAGTGGGCTCAAGTAATAAGAGGCCCATTATTTGGAGTGCGTATGAATTTAAGAAGAGAGGAGAGAATGAAGGGACTGAAGGAGCTACCTAGCTGGCAGTTGGCTAGTAATGGTAGCCGGAAGGAATATGGAGAGTAGGGTGATAGTATCAGGATAAGAATTGGCACCAAACAATGAAATTCAATAGTAATTATTACAATGAGTTCCCAAGAAATTCGAGAGTTTGGTCTCTCCCTCCCAAATAACCTCTTCTAGTTTTCCGGCTAACCCTCTAACCTACGGTTTCCATATTTTATTCACCACCACAAATAACTACTTAATAACTGCCACTAATTGTTAATATTGAAAAAGTATCTGCTAAGGCGAGGACAAAGGAAATTGAACTCTTAATGCAAATGCAGAATTTTAGTGGAAGACAGGTATATTATTTTGACGCATTTAAAGTTAAATTTTATGAGTATTATTTTAAAGATTATTATTTTAATACCTTTTTTTAGGGATTGGAATCACCCGCTGATGGTAGACGTTCATCTGAGTCTAGCTACCGTATTGGAGATAATGGAACTTCAGGGGGGACAAATTAGACTTTGCTATGATCGAGATAATTAGATTGTGAACTTTCTCATGTATTTTTGGCATAATGATACTTATTATTATAAGATTAGGAATTGATATATTTTGGGTTTTTTGTACTACTTGACATGATTATGGAACTCGCATTTTACATGATTATGGAACACACATTTTTTTTGATATTATAATGCTTATTTGATGTTAAATATTTTTTATTGAAATTATTTTTACTATATTACAAAGTGATAGAAAATAAAACAAAAAATAATACTATAAATAAATATATTAAAGAAAAAAATAACACAAAAAAAACTATATTTAAAATTTTTTACATAGATAATAATTTAAATAAAAAATATATATAATAGAAAAAAAAAATCAAGACATAAACAAAAGTCATGGCGACAGTACCGAACCGTCGTAATCAACAATTAAAAATAATCAACAAAAGTCATGACGGTATCGAACCGTCGCCATAAACAATTTAATCAATTTCAAAAGATATTCACGACAGTATCGAACCGTCGCCATCAATAATTAAAAGAAACTCAAAAGATAGTCACGACGATATCAAACAGTCACCAATACTTGATTATGTCAGCTCCAAACCTGTCGTAAACTTGAACGACAGTTTTTGTAACCGTCGCGAAATAGGTTGGGGACACACACTTCTGCGACGGTAAAGCAACCGTCGTGGAAAGCAAATTGCAACGGTTTTAACCGTCGTAATCTACAAAAATACCTGTCGCAATCTGCCAATTTTCTTGTAGTGCAAGTTGAGCAATTTTGAGAAAATGCATGAAACCTCATTTGAACAATTTTGGACTTTTGGACTAATGGTCCAAACTTTTGAGGTTTAAACATGTTTATAACGTGTTATAGGACCTCTAAATCCATTCACATTTTTTAAATAATTTTTATTTCTTTTATTTGAATTTTATTCATTTAAATTCAAAATAAATCAAATAAAATACAAGATTAATGTACAAGGCATGTGGGCTTTTGTTTTGGATCATTTTGGAGGCCCAAGATAACATATCCAACCTACCAAAACTGTGTGGGATGAATTTGGCAAGAGATCTTCATGTTTTGGAAAGTTTTGCAATTGTTTTAGAAACAAATAATAACTTCGATTGCACGTGTTTCCTTCCAAGAATGTTAACATAAAAATCATCCATTATAAATAAAGGACACACTCCATAAGACAAGGACACAAATTGGTTGTCATAGAAACAAGTTCTCAAACACAAAATTTTCAAAGAATAGGTGCAAATTGTATCCCAGTTTTCCAGCCATTCTCAACTGAAACGAAGCCTCGAATCATCATCCTGACATCCCCAGGAACCTCCTCAAGTCCATAACCACGCTCAACCGTGCCCAGAACGCTTCCCCTCAATCACACCGGTGGTAAGGATTTTCTAATTTCAAATTTCTTAATTCTTGTGTTATTAATAAGTTTCATATGTCTAGATATGTTAAACAAGAAACATAAAACATGTTGGAACCAAGCGTGTGAAGAGAATGGAGAGGGTTCGAACCCCAGTGTCATACCCCAAATTTGCCCTACCCTTATATTATATTTAGGTTTCTAATTAAATCATATCATATAGGTTTTGTTTTCCATGGAGGTTTAAACAAGAAAAAAGTGTATTGATCTAAGATGGACCATCAATATCTGATGGCCCATTAAGGTTTCATTCTTTTTAATAGGGGTGTGTGTTTATAGAGAGAGGTGCATGCTATTGAAGAAATCTTGGGACATTTCTAAATCAGAATGGCCCATTTAGAGTGAGTGGCGTATAAAACAATTTATTTTGTTTAAAGACCCAATACAATTGAATCTGAAGGCCCATTACGCATAGAAGTTGGGAGGTGTATTGTTTTAACCAAGGAGGTGTGAACAAATCGTTTTTATCAAGGCCCATTAAAGTTTCATTCTTTTTTAGAAAAGATGTATAAAATAACCCTTTTGTTTAAAACCCAAAAATTAACATCTGGTTGTTTCTGTTTTTGAGAAACTGTGTTTGTTTTATTGATTATTGATTTTAATTGTTAAGGTGTTTGTTTTATTTTGGAACTGGCAGACCCAAAACGGCATGGCCCATTTCGGTTTTGGATTTGTTTTAAAAATATATATTATGTTATAACATTATTATTATTATTATTATTATTATTATTATTATTATTATTATTATTATTATTATTATTATTATTGTTACTATTATAATAATTACTATTAATTTTACTAGTTTATTATAATTAAAACATCATGTTTTGTTTTGTTCACTGATTAAAAAAAAGGGCTAAAGCTTCCCAATCACACATTCCAAACACGTACGGCCCAAGCCCTTAAAACACACAAGGAAACATGTCCATTCCAGATTAGCCCAACACCAGAAAAGGTACTGTATGAATTCAACAGAGGAAGATAACACTTGTTTGAGTGTGAAAACAGAGCAGCCTAATGCATAAACAAAATCCTCATTTATCAAAACAAACCTTTCATAACAGGAACAAAATAAAAACGAAAGTGGAAACAAAATTAAAACTTTACAGACACAAATCAATACAGCTTTATGCTAATTACAGAAACTTATTCATTACTAATAAAAAACAATTAAAACTTACAATCAAATCGGAAACAAAATCGATATAAAAAAAACCTAATAAAATTGTTTCCTAAATCTAAAAATCCCAAAACACTATAAGTTACTAATTTCTAAATCAGAAAGTGGAGGGAAAAACATTACAGGTGGGGAATAAATTGTTACAGATAGAAAGGAGAGAAAAAGTGGACAGAATAGAGGAGAAAAAATCCTAGCGAGATACGCCTCTGTCACTACTATAGCTTAGGGTTTTGATATCCCAAACCCTAGCTCTTCAATCATCACGCCATTACATCACCATCATCACTCGTCATCCTCTGCGAATTAAAAAGAAAAAAGACCAGAAAATCTCAGAAGCAGGCGCAAGCTTGAAGAGCAGTCACGACACAAATGGTAAAACACTTAGCTTTATTTTTTTTTATTTTTGGTCTCACGATTTGATTTTGTAAGGTTCAAAGATAAGGGTCGTTGGGGTTTGGATATCGGAGGAGAAAAGAGATGTAGCACCGCCACCGATTGAGTGGACAGAGGGGGTTAGGGTTTCGTTGTTGTTTTGTGGTTGAGAGAGACAAAAGAGAGGTGGGAGATGAAGAGAGAAAGAGAGAGGAATAACAATGATAAAATGAATTATTTTTTTGTAAAAATAAAATATATTCTGTTTAAAGACCCAATGCATGACACTCCATGCCTCCTTACCATGTGCCCGCAGTTATACCCCTACGACCTCAATCAAACACATCATACTGCACGAGATCATCGTAGCATCATGCGTGCGTCCACATGCAATCTCAATGAACCACAAGTCCTGTTGGGCCTCTTGATCAACTTGCTGGCCCAAGGCCCTTACTATTCGCACCCTTCTATTCCTTAATATTTGCTCGCCAAGCCAAACACGTACCCACTACGCCCTTAGTCCAAAATATCTGCTATTTACACACTCAGGTTGAGTGCGGGGGGAATTAAAATATCTGTGTAATCCGTAAAAAACACAAACCAACCGCAAACTATGAAATGTGACTCTGATTCCTCCTAAGAGGATACATTGGCATACGATTAAAATCGTGGCGAGTCCCCCTGAATAAAATATAAAAACCCTTTTTCCTAAGAAACGCACTTCTAAACCTAGTATCCTTGTGAACAAGGTAAATGAGAAGTGCCTAACACATTCCCTTTATCCAGAACCGAGTCAGACCTAGAATCTCTGAACTTCTTCAGGGTTATTTCTTTATACTCCCTTCCTTAGGATAAAAATTAAGGGCGACGACTCTATATTTAAAACCAGTTGGGAAACCTAACGATGCCAAAACCCTTTTTGCTTTACTTTCTTCATTTTCCCATTTTATATTAGTTATTTTATTATTAACTAACTTTTTTAAAATCAAAACTTATACATACAAAAATCAGAAAGAAGCCATATAATAAAATCAACAAAAAATTAGTTTTAGGGTGTAAATTAATTAATTGGTTTTTTGGACAAT